TGCAATCTGTGACGTCATGTGTATTGCGAAAATTTTCAGCATTTTTGTTGTTTCGCTATATTTTCCGCTTCAAAAGAGTAATATTGAAGCATAAATTGATCTAATTGTTTTAAAAACATGCCTAAGCCACGACAAAGTATTCAAGGTAAGTGTTTTTCGTCTTTTTTTGTATTTTTTAACATTTGTAGCTACGAAATTGGCGTCGCCAATTTTTACGAAATTTGCGATGCATTTTTCAGTGTTTAGTGCTTGAAATATTTGCTAAAATTGACCGGAAATACTTAGAGATTTCATCGTAGAATGGCTTAGTCATGTTTATTTGCTCTTTGACTAAAATGTTTAGCTGTATTATCGCTAAACATGCCGTTTTTGAGAATTTGGTTTGCAACTAGGTTGCAACGCCATCATCCCATTGAAAACATTAGGTCACGTCAGCTAGTTTCCTATCCATGTATTTTATTATCCATGCTTTAACCAACTATGAACAACTTTAATAAATTATGAACTGATTTTTTACTCGTTTTTTTGGACCGGTGGAAATCTAGGGCGGGGGGAAATTGTCGCTTTTGCCCCCTAGATAATCCGGCACTGATAAAAAGTTTATGTAAACATATACTACAAAATGCTGCACAGGAGCCCGCTTTACCCTTTACCCGCGCCACAGAATAAGGACCCGCGCCAAGTGGCAAGTGGCAGTGCCTGCGCAAGCCTTAAGATTATTATATCAGTCTTTGCATGACGTCTTACATTATCTTAAAACAATATTATAAAGTTTACAACAAGTTTAAACAACCATATAAACAATAGAATTTATTAAAATTTACATGTAAAGGGAGCTTTGATATTAAAATTAAAGGTGAGTATAGTTACTTAGATAAAAATAAGAGTGTGTAGTATTATTCTGGCATAAATATACATTAATTATTAATACTGGACTGGAAATACAGTGTTCTCCAAGTCTCGATCTCATGACTCAATTATTTATAAAAGTGAGGCTCTGTCGCTCTGATGAAAGCTTCCTGCCTGCATTTTTCACCCCCCCCCCCTTTATAACTCCGAAACGAACAACCCTTTGAGAGGCAGATATTTTTAACGATAATCAGACCAGGAAGTTCATATTCAAATCTGTAGATCCAGGATCAGAACAATAATTCATGGGAATATTTGGGAGACTCAATCCAGTCAAATTGTGAGGGTAATGAAACCTTGAATTATTCCATAAAAATACAGGCTTTTTGTGGTTACAAAATATGACAGTGCCAGGCTATCAAAAGCTAAATTCAAAACGCCATAAAAATCGAACGATTTAAAAATTTTTCCTAGATATACAGTACTGGAAATCATTCCAAGATTAGATATTGCCAAAAACGTTTTTTGGGTTATATAATTTATATACTATTTAGGTGCACTTTAATGTCAAACTAGACTTACTGTATGTCTTGATCAATATTCCATGCCCGCTCACCCCCCCCCCCCCT